GGTGTTGGAGTTACAGTAGTGACTACTACTCTACTCCCAGGGTTTGTATCCATCACTGTCTGAGCATAGTCTTTCAACCTAGGGTATTGCTTCTTGTGGTCTCCTAGCACAGCATCAATAGCTATGTTCTTTGCTCTATATTCCATTGACTTGGGCACATCCACACCATACTTCTCCATGCAAGCATCAATCAAAGTCTGAATGCCAGTTGTTAGATCAGATCTGAATAGTGACTCATACTTCTGTGCAAGCCACTTGGCACTTACCCTTGTTGTCTCTGTACTAGTAGGGCAAGTGTGCTTAATTCTCATCTTCTTAATCACAAAAGTAGTTTCACCTTTTATAACTGCTGCCACCATAAAGAAGTTGCAATGTTTTTGGTTGCATTCTACAATTATTCTTTTATCTGAGTTCCTATGATATCTGAAGTTTCTTTCTTGAGTGATGTGTAAGTTCAACAAAGCCTCTCTGAATTGATGTTGATCAAAGAAACGTATGTGTAGACATAATTGCTCATGTGGTGCCTCCATTTTGTCATTGTACCATTTTCTAGGAGGCCTCTGCTTTGCCCTGCTCTTCCTTTTCTTTGGCAGCACAAATGACAATGGCTCAAAACCATCATCATCAGCCTCCTTCAACAATCCTTTCTCTTCTTCATCAGATGAAGGTTTGAAATCAGGTTCCTCCTCTGGTACTACACTTGAATGTGACCTTGTTGTAGGCCCTCTCCTAACTGGAAGCTTCTGTTTCTTCTTCTTCTTCTCTTCATGTACAATTACAGTTTCTTCATCCTATGAAACAACTTTGTCATCTTCATCCATTTGAAAAGGTTCCTCAACCTCTGTGTCACCCTCATAATGCACCACTTCTTCCTCCTCAGATTCTTCATCATCTGTTTCTCCCTCTTCCATTTCATCATACTCTTTCTGTTTCTTTCCCTCAGCCATCTCTATGTCATCAGCATCACCCATATAAAAAGGTGGTACATCACTGTCCTCTTCACCTTCACAATCAGAACCACCACTGCCATCATATCCCTCTTCTTCTTCTATTTCCAAAACAGCTTTCAATTTTCCTTTTACATTCTTGCTCTCTTGTGTGCAAACACCAGTACCATGAGCTACACTGCATCTGCTAATCTGACTTTCAAATGCAACTCCTTCTTCATTAACATCATAGATGGGTGGCTCACTGAGATCATATAACACATGCTCTTCATACACAACAGTGGATAATTCTTGCCTCTCAAACTGGCTGCAAGGAGGTGGACATGCCCTCACTAGCAAATTTAAGACCTTAGACTCCTCAACCTGCTTCTTTACTAATTGCAACTCAACATTACACTCTACCATCTCCAATCCTTTCTGCCCTAATTGTGGATTCTCAATGTGAAACAGTAGATCATATTCACTAAATCCTTGGGTTTCCATCACTGCAATCATATTCAGGTATGTTACATCTGAACTGCAGAGCTTCAGCTCAAACATTTCTGAAGCATCAAAATAGAACCTAACATCCAAAATGTCATCATACAAACTGCAAAATGAAATAACAGACAAAAATGGTTAATAAACAATTTTACTTAACAGATAGGCTAACATATAAACAAAGCTTTGTTTAAGTTAACATATAAACAAGTTAACATATAAACATAGCTTTGTTTAAGTTAACATATAAACTAAACAATTACTACAAAATCAAACAATGTAAACAATTATTACAGAGTGGGTACTTAACTGACAGCAAACTGATGGTTTGTATTTTCAGATAAGTAGTTAACAGAATTGTCCACTAATGGTGCTCTGCTCTAGTTACGAATCATTTAATCCACTGTGCTTCTCTGCTCTGCTCTGCTCTACCTAGGTAACACCTAATGCTGCTCTGACAATTTGGACTAAGAAATAACAATGTAATCCACTAATGCTGCTCTGCTCTGCTCTAGTTAGGACTCATGTAATCCACTATACTTCTCTGCTCTACTTAGGACTAGCAATTAGAGTGCTTAACATGCAGGCAGTAAACCAGGCAGTAAACCCTAACCCTAATCCCCAATTTCAGTTTGCAAGAATGGAACAGTGGAACACTTATAGAACACCACCAAAGCCATGAGTCCAGTGATGGGCGGTGCTAAGGTTGGCCACCCAAATTCGCGCCATCTTCAGCCTCTGCTCCATCGACAACGCCGACTCCGCAAAATCTTCGTCCGCGCTACTGTACTCCGAGCTGGAGTAGCCACCACTGCCATCGAGGCCTAAGCAGGGGAGGTCGCCGCCGCTCGCATCGCCCCGGCCATCGCCGCCTGCCGGAGTAGCCAAGGCCATCGTCTCTTAGGGCACAGCAGCCGCGGGGGAGAGGAGGGCGCGAGGGAGGAGCAGCCGCGGGGGAGGTGACAGCGCCTAAGCAGTTCGATCCATGGCTACAGTGGCGTGGTGTGGCGGGGAGGCAGCCGCCGGCGAGGGTGCGAGGAGAAGGAAGAGGGGGCGGGGTCGGGGTCTGGCTCGGTCGCACCAGCGAGACCTAAACGGTGCAAGCTGGCCTCGTCCCAGTCAGCGCCCAGTCAGCGCGCGGGCACGCGCGCACTGGCTAGCGTGGCGCCTGACGGGCAGGCCCAACCGGTCAGCTTTTCTGTCAATACGTATAAAACACACTTTTAGTCTTTTTTGCAACGGCTCGCCCCAATCTTGGTACTGACACGTAAAAATTACCAATCTTAATACCAATCTGCTTTCAATACCTCAATTGTGGTACTTCTGTGCAATTAACTCGGATCGTCTCCCTTTGTTTTCTTGGGCGTGCTCGCACATACACTTGGATCATCATGATAATGTTGCATACATTAGCCACTACAGCGTACAAAATACACACATGTCCTTAATTTCGGGACAGGGTGGAAGAGGAATTCAACATATAAAACTCTTGCCGAAAAATGGGTGAACTTTCTCTAGTTCGTGAGATATTTTTCAAACATGCGAACAGGTTTTCTATTTCACAAATTTTTGAAATGCTAAAAGAGCCGTTCTGGTTTTTTCTCACTGTACCAACTCTGAGCTGGGGCTGGGTTAGGAAGCGAGTGAGCGAGCCGGGGATAGCTGGGCTGGCCCATTTGCTGCGGTTAGGTAGCGCCACAAGCGCCAATTAGGAGCTCCCGCGCTGACCCCCTCGGACCGTCCTGCCCTGCCCTGCGTGGCCGAGCCCTCTTCTTGCTCGCTGCGCGCGGGCTGCCGACCTCCGGTCTGGCCACCATGACGAGGTAAGCCAGCCAACCTTGACTTACCCTTGCAATCCATGAGCTCAAACTTAACTACCAAACTCGAACGAGAATTTGCAATTAGTAAATCTGAACAGAATTTTGTATGCTTGATCTATTGTCTGTGCCCATGAACTCGACCTTGATCAAGCATCCTCCAAATAATAGCCATCCTCAGCTGTTGGCTTTAATTGCCATCCTCAGTCGGCGTTGACTTGATTTTATGCTGCTTCCACTCACGAAACGAGATTTGCGTGATTGCTGCCCTTCGTTTTGTTGTATAAACTTACTAGTACTCCTGATTTAACCTAATCTGACTGAATCCTAGAAGAACTAGTACTCTTTGCCAAGTGCCAACACAAACCATGACATGGACTGCTACTTGCTACAGGTGTGCACGCAGTGGCGAATCTAGCACTGAAATGAAGGGTAGGCTCAAAGCATGAAGTCCCTAATCTTGATTAGCAAAGCATTGCAATTGTTGGTTGTAAAACACCTCAGTATATTTGTCAAGTAGTATATTTAGCTGAAATATGATCTTTTGAGGGTAGGCTTAAGCCTATTAAAGCCCTACTAGTAGAATCGCCACTGTGTGCATGCATGAACATGTAATAACCATAACTCACATGTAACCAAACTCAAGATTACCGCTAACAGAGTAACAGATCTCGCATGTCAGTGTCTGTCTATTCTTCCCTACCTCATTTGTTATAAAGGGAAGAAGTTATCAAAGCACAGTTAATATTTCACCCGCAAAAATAAAAAAGCACAGGTAATATTTAATGTGCAATTTTGTCTTCCAGGGAAAAAGAAGAAATCAACCGAGTGCTTCCATTCTAGCCGGCCGAAGACCAAGTATTGCCTTGATGGTTACAGAGTAAGATAGTGTTGACTGTTGACTCGGGAGTAATGACTTGTGACTACTGAAAGCAACTTGGCCGGCCGGTGCAGAAATCAACAGAAAATATATTATTTTTGGAAGTACGTAGAACTCATCCAGATGAGATATAATATGGTCTCATTCACCTGAAAAACAAAAACAGATACAACCCACGTCAGCACACACGCATCTTATATCATTATATTCAATGTCTATAAAAGGTGAATGCGATCAAATTATATATCATCTAGATGAGTTGTAGCAAAACTGATTATTTTTTCCATGTGAGCTAGCGATTGTGACCAATTGCTGATATATTAGGGAAGGGCACTAACCAAGTTGATCATCTGTGAGAAGAACAACATTAACAACAACAAGAAGCCAGCCATGAACATCATCCTGCCGCTCCTGCTCAGCGAGCTCGCACCGTTCCTGGCGGCTGCAGATGTATTCTGCAACAATCTCAAAGTAGTCGCCACCACCCTTCCCAAGAACACATCCTCCTCTCCGGTACACATGGGCACCACCACCGTCGGCCAAGCCCCCGACACGGTCTACGCTCTCGCGCTCTGCCGTGATGTCCTCAACGACTCCGACTGCACCGACTGCATCGTTGAGACGTTCGAAACTATTCTGAACTCTACGCCACCGACACAGGAGCAGTGCTACAAGGAGGCCTACTACGACGGCACCTGTACCATCATCTACTCCGACCACATCCTAGGGCCCTCCGATACCATCGGAGGAAATGACGACGTGATATTTCAGAGGTGGAACGTCAAGAATGTCACCGCCGGTGACGCGAACCAAGTCCACCTCATCACTGGCCGCATTCGTGACCTGCTGGTAGAGACTGCGGAAAAGGCGGCTAGCATGACGCCGATGCGGTTCGCCACTGGCGTCACCGACAATAGCATTAACTTTCCGTCGGTGTACTCCTTAGCGCAGTGCACGCAAGACCTGTCCCCCGGCGACTGTTTGTCGTGCCTCCATCTTTACCTGGACCAGCTCAACTTCAGCATGTCTCTACGCATTGGTGGACGAATGGGTGTCACCCGATGTTATTTCAGGTATGAGGCTTTTAAGTTCTACTACGGACAACCCACGCTGTTGCTTAGACCGCCATCGTCGCCGCCGCCAGCTCTGACTCCGACAGAGGCGCCCAAACACAGGGGTAAGAACCGATGCATGGTTGCTTGCATAATTTTGCATGAGAGCTAAGCTAACGTTGTTTTATTCTCCGGCGAACACACAACTTAACTCTCCTGTCATCATTTCGCAAAAGGTCATATAAGCAAGCTGTTGGCGATTCCCATAGTCTTGGCTCCTCTAGCAGCAGCAGCAGCAGCAGCTTTTCTCTGCGTCAACTTTTTCTATCGTCGACTCACTAGACAAAGAAGAGGACAAAGAAGAGGTATATACGGTTCTTAGTTACTGGTTATATTGTTTAAATCATTTCCAGTGATACCAATATTAATTAGAACAAACATAACTAAAAAGAGATTACACCACCTCTCAATCATATCTTTATTTAGGAAATGTAACTTCCCTGTTATATTTATGCTCTGTACAGTGATGAGATTACAAGAAACAATATGTGTTCAGAATTTGGAGGGAGACCAACAACTAGTTTGGCAAGGGAAGAATTCAGAGTTATTGGTGCTTCGATTTGAGCCGCTACTGGATGCCACAAATAGTTTTTCAGAAGAGAACAAACTTGGACAAGGTGGCTTCGGTGCTGTCTACAAGGTAACTTATTATGTGCGTATTGGATTTTCATCATTTGTTGGTAACAATTGAATAGCCTAACATGATTCTACGGATTAGAGTTATCATATCTTACATTCTTAAGAAGTTGATCCCCTCTACTGCCAATTCTCTCTACATGCAGACTGTCCATGTCATCGTGATGCCACGTCAGCTTTCAATTTCCAAACAACCGATCGGTCTCTCTTTCTAGCCCCTCTCGTCTCTATCTCCCAACGCTATTAATTCCCCTCAGAAGAAATTCACATGTGCCTCTATTTACAGCATATGCCTTTTCTCCTCCCTTCCTCCTACAAATAGATGCACAACGCCACCACCCGTGATGTCTCCGCTCCTTCTCCCATCACTCATCCCTCTAACTTCATCTCCCCGGTGGTCGTCTCTAGATCCAAATCCAAAGGTGGTGTCTGCAGCCTGCTAGGCGAGTCACATGCCCATGAGTCCCGAGATCTAGCAGGTCCACGTTGAGATCCAATACATCTTAATTCGCGAGCGGGAGTGACATCAGCTTCTTCACTTCATCTTCCGCAACCAATTCCCTTTCTCTTCATCTTCTCCACTACTATTTTGTAAAAGAAACTGAACAATTTTACTTCTCCTCCTTACCTTCTCCATTGAACAGAAAGATGAGCAACCAATGGAGTTGGCACCACAACTAGGCATTCGGGCTTCTGCTCCAGTGGATCCGTCTTGCTGCCTCCAGGCCTGGAAGGGAGGATTAGGAGCCTTGCCGTCGGCCGCAACGATTTTTAATCCCCTCACCATACCCGGTTAGTTCTGACATGACAGCCCTCCTGCGTCCCTAATCATGCCGTAATTTAATTCTCTTTTACTGTTAGATTACCCTGCACTTGCATATGATTTATTTTTGTCATGCCTTCCGTGTGTGAGTGTTCAGAGATAAGTCAATATTCGTGTTATTTGCCATAGATCATCCTGGCAGGTCGAATTTTCTGCTCATAATCATCGCTGCTGTGTTGATGAGCCGCCCTGTATGTCGCAGTAGAGGCCTGAGCGCGTGTAGTCGTCCGCCTCTTCTTCTACTCACAACCCTCCACTGCCGCCTCTACCGAAACATCTTCCTCGTGAACGCCAAGCAAGGGCACACAGGTGAGCTCCTCCTTTCAACGTATTATTTCCACTGTGTTCCGGATTCTATTTGGCCCAGCTGCATTGGCTAACATTTGATTAGTTTGATCTTTTGGACTTTACAGTTTGATTGATTGGACTACACCTATGCCAGGATACGTGGATTCACAAGAGATGTGGCTGTACAATTGTTCAGCGGTAACAAGGTTGGATTTTGGCACTAATCAAAAGGAAATTAAAAACCATGGCATATATGATGTGATTAAGCCCCTAAGGCTATCTGGATTTTTTTTAGTTTGCACGACTAATAAATTACAACAATGCAATGGGTCACTTTTCTAAATTATTCTTTTTTACAGGTGTATATTTAGATTTTGACATTATTCATTTTGTATGACATTTGACTATGTTCAGAAGAGATCATGAAGGTCAAGGCATTTAGGAAGACATGAGCTATTGCAACTCTTGGGCGTTTTGATTGTTCAAATCATCGCGACAACAAAATCCCGCAGCAACACGCGGGGTGTCATCTAGTTTGTTATATAATGGGCCCTTTTATTTGTACGACGAGCTAATAAATAGTACAGGTTGTGTGGCCTCTGCAACAACACGGTGGCAAAGCATTGAGGGTACAGGCAGCCAAAATACTTGACCAAACCCAAGAGTTTAAAACGGAAAAAAAGGCGATCCTTGCCCAACAGTCATGTTAAAGATCACTGTCACTTGTGAACCAATCTGTGGTTGGTTGGTTAGAGGGACAGTGGTACCCTCAGCCCATCAGGGTTTAAGTCCTGGTGCTCGCATTATTCCTGAATTTATTTCAGAATTTCCGGCTATGCGCTTTCAGTGGGAGGAGATGTTTCCGTCAATGACGAGGCGCCTACGGTGACTTTGTAAATATCAAGATTATATGCCGGCTCAGTCTCTCGTAGGTGCTCATAGGGGTAGGGTGTGTGCGTGTGCGTTTATAGGGGTGAGTGTACGCGCGTATGTATGAGCGCTTGCGTCTGTACTCTGTTAAAAAAAAGATCACTATCACCCAAAACATGCTTGGCTCATGGAAAAACTACAATTCCCATAGCAAACATGAAGAAGCAATGCCAGTCGGCACCAATCTTGCAAAACTACAAAAATAATTTGCAGCCCTACATTCTTCTTAGCACCGGAGCCTAGCATTTGCAAATAGAGAGGAGGACTAGTGTTTAAATTAGGAAGAGTCTAACCTTTCAAGGTATTTTTTCCCCAGGGTAAGCTTCCTGAGGGGTTGGGGATAGCGGTTAAAAGACTTGCTTCTCATTCAGGCCAAGGATTCATAGAGTTCAAAAACGAGGTACAGTTCATAGCCAAACTCCAACATAGGAATCTGGTTAAACTATTGGGATGTTGCTCCGAAGAACCTGAGAAAACATTGGTCTATGAATATTTACCAAACAAAAGTTTGGACTTCTTCATATTCGGTATGCATTTGGATTTCTTCCTTTATTTTACATATTGTTTCTTGACAAATGGAATTCCATTTATTCACTTTAGTTGCTCATCTTAGTCCCATGAGTATTGTTTCATATTCTACACAATTGACCTGTAAAATCATTTGTACTCGGTAAGGTGTTTTCCCTTGTCATACTTATGTCTAATTGATGTGCGGAAGAAAAAAGAAGAGCTTTATTGGACTGGTCCAAACTTTTAGCAATAATTGAAGGAATAGCTCATGGGCTTCTCTACCTACATAAGCACTCCCGGTTGCGTGTCATACATCGAGATCTAACACCAAGCAACATCCTCTTAGACAACGAAATGAATCTAAAAATTTCAGATTTTGGGCTAGCAAAAATATTCAGTTCAACAAACCCCGATGGAAACACTACAAGGAGAGTGGTTGGTACATAGTAAGTATCAAGGAAATAAATTCATTTATAAACATTGATATTACAATCCAATCGTATTCAATAATTTTAACATGCATCGTCTACCATTTTAGTGGCTATATGGCTCCCGAGTATGCTTCGAAGGGTGTCTTCTCTATTAAATCCGACATCTTCAGCTTTGGTGTGGTTATTCTCGAGATCCTCAGCAGAAAAAGAAATTCTCGTCGCCAACAATGTGGATACGTGAGCTTTTACACATACCTCAATTAAGCATGTAAAACTGAATATTTTTTCAGTTGCTTCACAACTGGTGTTGTGTTATTACATTGGAAACAGGCATGGAAATTATGGGACGAGGGAAGGTGGATTGATCTTGTTGATGCATCATTGGTTCCCAAGAGTCACTCAAAGGAGATGATGAGGTGCATTAACATAGCGTTACTGTGTACGCAGGAAAATGCATCTGATCGACCAACCATGTCAGATATTGTTGCAATGTTAAGTAGTGAGAGTATGATCATTGCTAAGCCTAAGCAACCTGCATATTTCAATGTAAGGGTCGGAGCTGAAGAGCCATCCGCTGCTCTTGAGTCATGCAGTATTAATAGTATGACGATATCTATCACAATGCCAAGATAGTGTTTTCTCCATATATTATGTGGCTTTTACTCCACTAATATAGTATTCATGCTACCCTCATTGTATAGTTAGTAAGATAAGGTGGTGTTCCAAATGTTAAAACTTAAAGAGTACTTTTACCTAAATATTTGAATTATGGTTCTTTGTTTTCCTTGTTACCTTTGATTTTATATCTAACACATTTCATTCAAATTTTGGATAGTGAACATAGAAACATGATGAATAATTATAGATGGTGAGTTAGTGACAAATTTATTTTTCTTAAGGGAATATTAAAACCACATGATGATTATCCAGCTTGAGAATGTATTTCTATCTTCAGAAAAACATGTGAAATTACCTTTCTATTATTTAATCAAACGTGTTCACATCTCATAACCTTTTTAGAAGATGGCAACATGATAACATACACTACCTTAGCTGAACTAGCAGATGAGCAGATCGTTTTTGTATGAACCTTTTGATTCAATGATACTTAAATCATTTATGTTGAGAAACATAGCTGAAAAAGAAAAATCATGCCTACAAATCATCCCAGGCAACGGTCCTGCTTGGGTTTTCGAGATCTGCACTTTTTCAATCTTGCAATGTTGGGAAAGCATGGCTGGCGCCTTATGACTAAACCTGAGTCTTTGTCTGCAAGTGTGTTGAAAGGAAAATATTACCCTCATATAGACTTCCTGTAGGCAATGGTCCCTGCTCGATCGCCAGCAACCTGCAGGTAATGTTGTTCGGTGGGACACCCTGGATGTGGGCCTGATCCATCGAGTGGGAGATGGTACTAGCATCTCGACATGGATGGATAATTAGATTCCGAATACTTCTTCTTTGAAACCGATCGGGTGGACATGAACTATTCCATTGGAAAAAGTTTGGATCTTATTGATAACTACACGGGTAACATGGATGTGGATGTTATTCGTGCAAATTTCTTGCAACCGGATGTGGAGGCAATTCCGAACATGTCATTAAATCCAGCCGGTGTAGAAGATACTTTGGCTTGGGATTTTGAGAGGTCAGGTGTCTACTCTTTAAAATCCGTTTATCGCTCTCCGATGACTCGTAACAAGCGGAGCTCTCTACAAGAAGAGACGATTACAGAATCTTCAACAACAAGTAAACATATGTGGACTGCTTTATGGAAAGTTAATGTGGTTCCAAAGGTTCGGGTCTTTTGGTGGAGAGTACTTCGAGGTATACTCCCAGATTCCATCAACTTGCATTATAGATGCATTAAGCATATTGGCTAGTGTGACATTTGCAAGGCTATGGATGATGATATGATGCATGCGCATGTCACCTACACGCATGCAAAGAAGTTTTGGATTAGAACAAGGGATCAATTTCAGCTTCCCCTCCCCAGTTGCATCCATACACTTGGGTTAGTGATATCTTGTTAGATCTTATGTTCACTCAATATGAAAAATGCAGATCATCAACATTATGCATATGATATGGTCGTCGCTACCGTCGCACGAATGACCGTGATGGATATGACCCTACGTAAGCTATCAAATAGGTTGATGAGACACTACTGGCTATTTTGGACATGTCATCTTCTTGGAAGAAGCTGGCACCCAACTAGAACTATAGACCGCATGATCCATGGCGGGTCACTATTAACGCTGATGGGGCATTAAATGTTGATGACATGAAGGGAGGGGGAAGGGGTGGCATGATCAGACCTAGCATTCCTTGGAGGTTGGAGCTTGGAGCAAGCCTTTGTAAAGGTTTGTTGGATCCATTCAAAGCTGAATCATTAGCTCTTCATGATGGCATGATCTTTTCTCAACTTCATGGCTATTCACATGTGAGAATGGAGTTGACAACTTGGATTTAGTGAATCTATGGAAATCACGTGGCAACACAAGATCGGATGCAACACCTATCTTGAGGGATTTACGGGAGATCGGAGCGAGTTTTTCTTCTCTCTCGGTTACTCATGTCTGTTGGGTGGCTAATATGCCAGCCCATCATTGTGCTCGTTTTGCTTGTACACTTGATGCGACTAAGAGTTGGCCCAATGCAAGCCCTGAGTTTCTTATTTCTTGCCTGGGGGCGGACAGTAACTGAATGTTAGTTCCTTAATAAAGCTCCCTACAAAAAAATCGTTTTTTAGAATTCAACAACGCAAATGAATTTGGACTATTAAGGGAACTTTGTGCCTTCGTTGGGACATAGGACATGCATGCATGCACGCGAGGGATATGTGTGGGCGGATTTTGGCAATCAGTCTACGGTAGTTAGTAAACGTGCTAGGATTAGTGTTATCTAATTCTAGCACGTTTCACTTGGTAGATTCCAAGCAGAAAACTGCTCTCAGTGTGCATTGGTCCTGGTGATTCGGTTTGCCCACTGAATAAGCCCAGAAGGAGAGAGTACTTTATAGGGATAAGTATATTTTTCGTCCTCGAACTCTTCCGAGAGTTTAGAAATCGTCCCTCAACTCTAAACCGGAGAGTTTTCGTCCCTCAACTATCAAAACCAGATAGTTTTCGTCCCTCGTGCCGCTTCGGGCGGTTTTAGTCCGGGATGAACAGTAAATCAGTGCACAATAAAATCGAAAAAATAGCAAAACAAATAAAAAAATCTGAAATTTTACAGCATCGAAGATAATTTCGTGCGCAAGACCCGTGCAAAATTTCGGGGTGTTTCGACATTGAAGCAGCTCGTGGCAAACAAAATACTGTAAATATGTACGTCGGTGAACAGTAAATTTAAAAAAAATAGCAAAAAAAATCAAAAAAACATGAAACATTTTGGCATCAAAGATGCTCAGGTACGCAAGATGCTTGCAAATTTTTGTGATCGAATGACATACGAGGAGCTCTAGCCAAAAAAACAAACAAACAAAATATCGCACTTTTTTTTAAAAATAAATCTGAGCCAAATTTTGTTTCTTTTTGTCACGAGTTCGTACAATACCCAAACATCATGAAAATTTGCACGCACGTTGGGCACCCAAACCTCTTATATGCCAAAAAAATTCATACCGCTTTTAATTTTTTTGCTATTTATTTTGAATTTACTGTTCACTAACGTACAAATTTATAGTTTTTTGTTTGCCACGAGCTGCTCGAATATCGAAACACCACAAGATTTTGCACATGTCTTGCGCACCAAAGTATCTTCGATGCTCTAAAATTTCAGATTTTTTTGTTTTTTGTTTTGCTATTTTTTCGATTTTACTGTTCACCCCGGACTAAAACCGCCCGAAGCGGCACGAGGGACGAAAACTATCTGGTTTTGATAGTTGAGGGACGAAAATTCTCCGGTTTAGAGTTGAGAGACGATTTCTAAACTCTAGGAAGAGTTCGAGGACGAAAAATATACTTATCCCTACTTTATATGATTTTTTTTCGAAACGGAGGCAAAAGATTTGCCTCATCGATTAATTAAGGAGAAGAGAATTGCCAAGTTAATTAACGGAAAACCGAGCGAAAACCGATACAGACCAACTACACGTGGACTACTCACACAACATGCAACCCAAACACACATGATCGTCTGACAACCATACCCAACACCTAATGTCCACCATCCCCCACACTGCTCGGCCGAAGACCACATGCACCACCAAATCCACGAAGACAAGTCAGACCATAAGGACAACCCAAGAGACTAATAACCATCCTTCAAGCAGCTGCGGGCGCCTTTCCTGTGGCATCACTTTTCTTTCCTTTGCTCCCGGGAGCCTCCTCCACTATCGCCTTGCCAGATCCATGGCTCACCCTCTCCAAACGTTTGAGCAAGCTGTGAAGCTCTATCTCGAATAGAATCTCATTGACCTTGTCACGCACAGAAACCTGCCCAACGGTCACCTGCGGGCGGGTGACTGCAACATCGGATCCTCCACGCTCCACAGAGGCGAGCGGCTGGTTGGGCTCCGAAGGGTCAGGCGCGAACATACCAACCGCGAACATACCAACCGCCTCAACATCATCAGCCATAGGTACCATTGACACGATGGACTCAGACGTCTCCAGTTGCTCACATGATATAGCCTCAGAGTTAGGTGCCAACACACCTGTCGCATCAACCTTGCCACTCAAAGACACCACATGCCCAATGGTCTTAGATGAGGCAGTGATAGAACCAACCAAGTCTTCACTATCTGCAAAGGCAGGCGGCTGACGGGACTCTGGCGGTGGAAGTGAGGGTGTCATGGCCACCGCCAAGGACTCCAAAGCGCTCAACTGCATCGGTAACACAATAGATGATTCCCCACAAAGCTCATGTAACTCAGGCATAATATGCAGAATTGGAGCTAGGACCTCGTTGATAACCGCACTCCCATGAACAATCGGTGTCACCTCCAGAGCACGAGGAGAAAAATCTCCAAAGAAACATTCAGCATCCTCATCAATGGAAACAACCTGGAGCTCAGGCAGCAAAGGCACAACTGACGCAACCTCAAGCTTGGCAAGAGTGTCACGAAGCTCAGTGCGGAGTAGCTCAACCTCCTGAAGGAGCTCCGTGCGCAGCAGGGCAAGCTGTGACTCCAAAGCAAAGACCAAAGATGGGTTGACATTGGAATCCTTGCAACACCCATATTGGGACCTTGGCGGCACCGACACACACAGCGACGAGTGACCTACAACCTCAGCCCAACTCCTAGTTAGCGGAGAACAAGGCTGGACGGGCGGGGAGCGGCTCCGCTGGCGAGGAGCGCAAGCGACCGGAGACCCACCGCAAGTGAACGGAGAGTGAGCACGACATAACCTCTCCCGAT